TTCTAGGAAAAATTCACACCTTTACCCCCTTAAGTGTACGAATGGAATGTCGCTCACCTGCAGGTGAGCGACATTCACACACTTGCATTTCCAGTGTAGGTTTAAATAGGCTTCAGGCACAGGCCACGGCCAGGCCGAAAAAACAAGTACAGTCCCGCATGTGTTTTACAAAATACAATTGAGACCGTAAAATGTAATCCCGAATGTTTAAAATTTAATTCAGTCAGGACTGTATGCATACGTAGTATAACTGGCTATGATTTTTTCAACGGTGCACGTCACACGAGTTTTTGTCAATCGTGACGTTGTCATCGTCATCGATTCCTCTCACCCACTTAAATATCCTCTTGTGCTGCCGGACCGATCGGCGGAACCGAAACGATCGGACGAACCGCGTGGTTCTAACGAACGAGCGTGACGGGGACCGCTTTTGAGAAATGGTTCGACCCTTGCAGGGCTCGACCGGTCTAATCTAGGCTGCTGATTGTCTGATCGTCGCTCTTGCAAGTAAGGCGCTTGCCGGTTAAGTTGGTTCACTAAATGTAGGCACAACGGCAGGCCGTTCCCGGGCGGTCCGTACAGAGGGAGCCGGGACGATTCCCAGTTTTGGACCGCCCGTGGCACGCTCCTGGCCGCAGGCCCGCAAGACAAGCTGCAATTCAGGTAGTGCCACGTAAGCAGCACATAGTCGCGTATATTGGGAGTTCATCCATTATTGAAAGCATTCTAACAGTCATTCGCTGTTTTGTCAACCTGGTGGCATGTGCACCCCCTGCAGGCTCCCATAGCGCCTGATGGGTAGGCAACATCTTGCCTGCAGAACACGCGTGTACTGCGGTGTGGCCTACCCCGAGTCTCGCAGGCGCCAAGGTCCCGTGTCCCGTAGTTTGCCGAATGGGGTGACCCTTATGATGGACCAAAAGACTCGACCAAACGGCGCTGGCGGGCCCGGCGAGTTGCCGGTGCGACGAGGCGGAGCTGGCAGCTTGGTAGCTCTGTCTGCGGCGGAAGGGCGGTCGGGCCCGCTTGTTTTACCTCCCGCCCCGAGGCCCTGCCCTGCCGGTCCAGCCGACCGACTGCTGCTGGAATGCGAGAGATTCCCGGTCATAAAACTGCGTCCCGTCGGCGGCTTTGGCTCGGGGGCCAAATAGCGACCGAGAGGCATCCCGGGGCGGCGGCCAGGCAGAGCTCCCGTCTCCCTGACCCGCTGGCGTTCTGACCTTCCCTTCCTCTTTCGTTTGTCGAGCCATCTGCGCGGGGGTTGTGCTCGTCTTGTGGCGGCAGCGCACTGGTAAAACAAGTGTTAAATGTTGCATGTCAATTGGTGTTGTGCATTTTCTCAACACATTGTGGTGTATAACTAGGTTAAACGTCAATTGGTGTTTAAACTTTCGACACTTCCGAAAAGTATAGCAGCTTCACATCATATGGTCCCTATAGATTTGTGTGTGCCCAAGTGTGCAGAATTTAAACGTTTGCAAAATGTTTAAAATGTGCACACCACGCAAGTGTGCAACTTGAGTTCAACACCATGAAATGTTTAAAATCATAACTTGCACACGTGGGTGCTTAAATTATGCACACTTGTTTTTCCAGTGCGGGGGCTCGGCGCGTGTTTTGTGGTGGACAAAGCTCTTAGGGCACCTTCTCGTATGCTCAGTCGGACTAACGTTGCGTGAAAGTAGTGCCAGGTTAAACCACTCGTGCCTAAACTTTGAAGTGCCCAAACATGTTGATGGTGAAACCGCGAGAAGACCGGGCTCTCCTCGGTGGAGTGAGTGCTTGCTCACGGGGACGACCCCCCTTCAGCCTCTGCTGTTTCGTTTAGCCTTGGTCGATGTCCCGAGGGCAGTGGAGAGGGGCGGGAGCCGAGAGGCCGCCGCTGAGCCGAATGCTCTGTCGCTGTAACTGACGTGCTTATTACTGTTACTGTAACTGACGTGCTTATTGCTGTAACTGTAACTGACGTGCTTATTACTGTTACTGTAACTGACGTGCTTCTTTTTCTTGTTTCAGGTGAGTTCCTGTGAGACCGTGGATCTTATGGAACTTACGTTTCTGCTGATAGGTGCCTTGTAAGTACAAACTGCTTTCGTTATCGCTTTTGGTTTGCATGAGTGGGACGGGAGGAAGGGCCCGCTGGCCTCGCCGTCGTCGGGCTTTTGGTCTCCGCGTCTACCCGTATCATCGTTGTCGACTTCGTTTTATTTCCCTTTGCTGTTGGGGGCTTCTTCGACGGACGGGGTTGGGGTTTTGACGTCTTCCCCGCCTTACCCTCTTGCGGCCCAGGAGGAGGGCTTTTGTTTCGCTAGGCGGTAATGGTGTCGGGACCGACGTAGGCGGGAAGTTTTAGAGTGGATTCCCGTGTCGAAGGTGGCGTGGCCCGGCGGGGTGTGGGTACGTGCTCGAGCTTGCTACCCCTCACCCCCCGCTGGCAGGTGTGCTCGCGCGTGTGTGTGTTCTGGCGAATGTACTCGCACGCGGCCGCTCTCGACGAAAACGCTCACTTCGTCCGAGAGGAATGTCCTCTGTTTCCGGGACGCTCAGTCACTGCTGGTTTGAGGGGGATTTCTGTTTCCCTCTCCTAATTGCTTCGAATGAACTGGGCGAGTTTTCTCCGGTTGACGCTGAGCGTGGAAAGCGGATCAACTGTAGTACTTTCCAAGACTATCGAGACAGTTGTTATTGCATTTCGCTCCTTGAAGTGCGCTGTAAATTGCTTACGAACTATAGGTTCGTAATGCAAACCAAAACGTTCGCAGCTTCCGAAGGATTTTGAAGCGTTGTATTACGAACTAATTGTTCGTAAGCTTACAGTCGTGCTGTTAAAACTGGCTTCTTGGGGATGTAAGGTGAAAGAGAGAGAGAGAGAGAGAGAGAGAGAGAGAGAGCGAGAGAGCGAGAAGGGGGGGGGGGGGGGGGGGGGGGGGGGGGGGGGGGGGGGGGGGGCTCATGAGTACAGTGCATGCGGATGGCGGCCGAGGGAATGCGCTCACATACAAGCTATTCCCCTCCCCTTATATTCGCTCGCGTATCATCAATATCCCCCCCCTCCCCTCTCTGCTTCCAGTTGAGTCCAAAACGGTCAGATCTCTCCCCTTCTCTCCATCTCTCTTCAGTCCCTTCTATCTCTTCTCCTACCCCTCCTCTTTCTCTTGCTCTGCTATTTACTGTATTTCTGAGCGCCATGCCCTCCCCCTGTCCTCTGTCCTCTCTACTCACCCCGCGCTGTTGCACCTTTGGTAACACAAATGCTGTGGTCGCTACACACGAGACATTCTGCGCGCAACGGTGGGAATGCCGGTCGGTATTCTGTCTGTGTGTCTGTGTGTGTGTGTGTGTTTGAGGGAGAGGGAGAGAAAGGAGGGGGGATAGTGTTTGGTAGTGCGGCAGGTATGAGAAATTTGGACTGGCACTCGCAAGAGAAGGAATGAAAGTTGTAATAAAAAAAATGAAAGAGAGAGACGCACTTGCGCGCTAGCACGCGGGGGACTACGGTGGGGGAGGGGGGCAGCGAGAGGGCTTTCCTTGCGTGTGCCATAAAAAGAACCAAGTCGATTTGCTACGCGATGTGTAGCGCCGCTGCTGCTGGGGGGACGGGGGGGGGGGGTAGATGTAAAGGGGGAGGGCCGACGTGGTCTGGAGGAATACATAGGGAGCCAGCGGCGTATTAGGGAAAGGCGAAGGGATAAAAAAAGGGACGGTATCATTTCCCTCGAATCTTCGACTAGAGCATGGGGTGGGGTGGTCTCCATAAATATGCACTCCTGTTAGTGGTTATTCTTCAAATCCGCCTTGCGTGATGATGGTTGCCCAGGAAATGGTAGTATAGTTAAATCACCTGTATTACGATTAATCCATGAAGAAGCCTCTGGAGAACCACACGTTTGTGATTCATAATTCATTACAGTCAATGCTCGACTCTCTTGCCGTTTTGATTGAATGCAATGATGATGTGCCCGTTTACTCGTCGGGAAGAATTAAATAAATAATTGGCTCGTCAAACATGTCGTATATAACGTCGGCTCTCCCAGCCGGTGGCGTGTCGAGTCGACACCTTGCGCCGGGTCGGTCGGGCGTGCGATTAGCACATTGCCTCTGCGAAGGCCACCTCAGCCTCCTTGGCCTGCGCGGCACGGCGCGACGTCCAATTATGGCGCTGCGACACCGTGTTGCTGCTGCTCTCCGGTGTGAAGGGTCAGCAGCAGAGGCGCTGAAAAAAAAAGGAAACGAAACGTGCTTAACGTAGGGAAAAAAATGAGATGGCTGTGGGGGCCAAAGTTTAAACACTCGGCAAATTCGACTGTATAACAAGATGATGACAGTTTTAACTGCAAACTCAAAGTCTCCCTGCGAAACTGAAAAGTTCTGCAGTTTGAATTGTCAAACTACACTTTGTGCAGTTAAAACTTTATAACGTCTTATTTTTGAACTGCGAAGTGAAAGTTTCACTCGCCGAAAAGTTTCTCAGTGGAAACTACAAGACTTACGTTCTTCAGTTGAAGCTGTAATCCTGTTATACTTTGATTTGAAGAGCACTGTTTGTTTTTTAGCACGTTTTTATTTTTAAAAGTTCTTGCAACGGGTACGCGATTGCTAGTTGAAATTTCCCTAAACTCCAAAGTATGGTTTCACGTATTACTTTCAAAGTCTTCAAAAAATGTCACTGTCTTTATTAGAGTTTTTCTTGATAGATCGCCCTGTCGTCGTTGTTTTAGGTTTTGTTTTTGAAGGGGCATTTTGTGCTTTTAGTCGTTTGAGTAAGTTCTTCATGATTCGTAGCTCTCTATGATTCACGATAGGTTTTTACAGTGAAGTTTGTCCCCCTGAGGAACAGCGCTCTCGTAGAAAATATGTTTACCTTTGGCTATGTGCTGCACAATAGAGTTGTATAAGTCTTGTCCGTTAGTTCAGTTTTAATGCCCTTGTGAAGGCTTTTGTAGTACCTCCCTTAAGGCAGCGACCGTGTGCCCTTTTGTTTCGTGTTGGGTTGTATTTCAATAAGCTTCTAAATGACGAGGTAAATTGGTTTTGTCCGTGTCCGTATCGTTGCAATAAGATGGGACTATGAATCAATATGAACAAGTTTTTTTCTATATTTTCAAAATTAGTAATGTAACTTTGGAGATTTGATGGTTTTCTTAAAAGGGGGGGGG